ACGCAATCTCTGTTTTCACTGTACCTACAATTTCATTTTTGGGTATTTTAGAATTTATCACTTAAAAAATTGTGAAACTTGAACTTGGGAAATAAATTTTAAAAATATACAATTTTAGTATTTAAAAAATGTACAATGGAAAGATGATCCAATGCAATGGACTGTGGAACAGCTATTTGCATGAAGAGTGATATGGAGACTGGCATAAAGAGAATAATTACTATGGATAGTTAGAGGAAAGTCCTCATAGAACAAGGAAGATATTTTTTATTGGATTGATGTTGCCCTTTAGAAGTCTTATAAGTAAAAATCAGCAATGTGACCAGAGAACAAAAGAAGTTCACCTGCAGAGCAGAATGAAGGGATGTCACAAATAAGATGAACTATCAGTACGATTGAGGGGTTAGAACCTTGGTACAAGTTTCACACAAGGGAAAGCGGAAGGATCTCTCTTTGTCTAGAAGTCCATAGAAGAATCAAAGTAAGAAAAAATCTTTTTATTTAAAATCGTTTCTTAAAAAAGGTCAATACAATATAATTTTTATGAAAAACGTTTATTACAAAAAAAATAAGTGCTTGAAAGGAGTACGTAAAAACAAAAGAAGATGGATAAACAATAGAATACATGTTTATAATTTAGTCTAAATTGGATATATTCGTCACTGAATATTTAAAAAGTGGAAAGGTGGGGCGGAGTCTGACCGCTAGGCTGAACAGACGTGCGGGAAAAGAGCTCCTGCCGGGCGGGCAGAATAAACTGCAATATCGACGGCTACTCAGCCCAAAGACACACTGGGGTGCGCTACCCACACTGGGGGTGCACCACAGAATCGACAGATACCTTTTTGGAGCCTGTCGGAGCCCAGAACCCGAAACGCAACCTGCGGCCTACAGGAGTGGGAGCCGGGGAGTGGCCGTTCTCTTCGGCACCGGATCCCCCCAGCAGCGTTCCTGATCTCCCCCCCCCCCCGGACTGGCGGGGGTTATCCCAGTCCCCACTAACCAAGCGAACAAACACAGAAAGCGAGTGACCGTGGCTACACAGCCAGCAGGGGCACCAGCCTGCAGGGGCACACCCAAGATGGCCGCCCAGCAGGGACCAAAGAGAGGGAACACTGGCAACCATACATATGCTCACCCCTTGGAAGCTCTAGACCATCTCTGCTCGAGCTTTCACATGATCTTATGCGACAGGGGAGTGTCCTACCTTCTAGCAGCTCAAATTGTGGCCTCGTGGATCCGCCCGGTGACCCGTCGCCGCCATTATGGACTACCACTGCGGGCCTTCGGGGCAGCCATCCGACCAAGCAAGCAACAGCAACCGCAAGGGCGCGAAACCTCGGGCGCCAGCACCCGCGCTCCAGCAAACCAGAGCGGGACCCACCAACATGCACAACCTGCTCCGCACACAATGGCCCCGACAACCTCCGACCAGCAGAGCGCAACCCAACACAGGAGAACTCAGGATGCCTGCCGTGAGGATGACCAACATACAGCAAAGCGGGCTACCAGAAAGCGTAACAGGCAGAGAACCCCGACAAGGATCACCGCAGACGGAGCTTTGATGGGGCACCAGTCCTACCCTCACCATCGGTGCACCTGGCAAGCCTCCATATACCCTCACTACCGGGGTTTCCGTTTCCCAGATGTGGGAGTCGGCTGACTGTGATCGGGACACTGACCAATACAGCTCCCGGCTAACCTGCAAATTACAAGACTGGGAGATGACCGCTCAAGACAGGGGCCGAGGCGCAGACACTCTGGTGGTCTTGAAACTTTTTATGTTGCCTAGGTACCCTTTTACAAGCAGAGAATGCCATAGCTACCCGTTTATTTAAAAATTGTGGATTACATATTATATGTCCCATGGTTGATGCCTAAGTTTCCCCCCCTTTCTTTTGTTCTCGCATAAGCTGTCTTACTAATTGTTAATCTATATGATTGCATTCACCATTATTTTTACATAAATTATTAGTTATGTGATGCCTCATAGCGGCCTACATAGGTTTCTAATGCTGCCAGGGAGGCGCAGGCCTGATGGGATAACAACTGACCCCCTTTTTATTTTATAACTTAGCCCGGAACACTCCTGACCAGCATAATAGCTACCTGACGATACAATAACAGCCACGGCACACACCACGCAGATTAAGCTTCCCTATTACCATCAACATATGAATGCAAGTTAGTGGGCCCTACCCTAATGCCTAGTTAGCTATTATGCAGCATAATACTCTTTTGGCTAGATAGCACAACGAATCTACTCACTGTTACGAGCAAAACTCTGCCATGAGACCCTTTATTGTTTTTTACTCGAATCACTCTTATAGAAGATTGCTTAGAACTAGCATGTTGACGCAGAGTGCATCCCAGCATAGCATTTAGCTTAACTTTATTCATACACTTAGTAGATATGCACTCAGATGACTGAATACAATAGCGATACACAGTATAATGTTAACTAAGCTTGTTTCCTACCATGTTATTACTCAACTACCTTTAAACATAAAATTTGTGCCAGATATTGCATGTACCCCTCTGTTAAACTGTCTACAAAGCGTTGGAGGAATGCCGTTGGGGTACCTCACAACCGACTGTTAAAAGCCTATGCACAACAAAAATAAAGAATTAAAAAAAAAAAAAAACTGATTTAGGTGACAGTTATCCATAAAGGACTGGCATGGGAAACACGGTCTTCTGCAGCTTATTTTACTCTGGACACAACCCCAATGTTCCTTATGCCTGGAAGAGCTGCAACCAGTGATAGATCCACCAGGGCCGCATATTAAGGGGCCCATTGGTTGGCCCAAACAGCATGTATTTCCAGGGGGTCGGTCAGCGCTGTGGCGCTTTAACAGCGCGACTGGGGCTTCTGAGATGACATCAGAGCTGGGAGGAAGTGACTGCCCCAGGCACTCCTCCCAGCTTATACCGGGAGCCGCGCAGGAGGAAGAAGGAGGGAGTCAGAGTGGGAACCATCAAGTTGAGCCACCACTGGACACCAGGGAAGTAACCCTCCTGCATCTAAAAGGTAGGAAAGAGGAGTGTGACTAAAACATTTTGTATATGTGTGTGTATGTTTGTATGTATGTTTGTATGTATGTGTGTTTGTGTATGTGTGTCTGTATGAATGTGTGTCTTTATGAATGTTTCTCTGTATGTGTGTGTGTGTATGTGTGTCTCAATCTCTGTTTGTGTATGTATGTGTATGTGTGTCTGTGTGAATGTATGTGTATGTGTGTCTGTGTGTGTGTGTGTCTGTGTGAATGTGTGTCTTTATGAATGTTTCTCTGTATGTGTGTGTGTATGTGTGTCTCAATCTCTGTTTGTTTGTGTATGTATGTGTATGTGTGTCTGTGTGAATGTACGTGTATTTGTGTATGACACATTCATTTTAATGGTGTGACTAGGGGGTGTGGGTGTGAGTGGGTAGTGTGTCAAGGGGGGCTATCAATTTTTAAATCCACTCTATGCATCCTACCTTTGAGGGATAAACTACTTCTCCCATAAATCTTATGCCATAAATCTCTGATGAACAGGGGTTTAGAAGATAAGATCAGACTCCTGAATACCAGAGTGAGGCATTCCTGATTCCTATCCTGGTGAGGGGCGTAAAACTGACACAAGTGCAATAGAATATAAAATGAAAGTAAACAAAATGTGGGGTTTTTTACGTTTTAGGTGAATTTTTTACGCATTATCTGTGTTATTTCTTTTTAATGGGGGGGGGGGGATTTTCAAACATGTATTTCCATCTAGTAATACTTTTTACTGGGTAATCAATCACGAGATTTTCAGTAAAATAAAGTAATTCTAGTTTATCACCAGTCAGATCCCAAGTTTGTCAATAATGTCGAGATTTTTTTTGCCATCTCTTGTAATAAATGACTTGCTATATATAGCTCGATGGGTACCGTGTTTGAATGCCTTGTTCATTTGGAAATGTATTTCCTGACTAATCTAGCAGAACAAAGCTCAACTCTGTATATGAAGTTCCATATTATGTCTTTTGCTTATGTTAGTCTGGTGTTTATTAATACTCTCAGTAAAGTCCTGCAGGCCCCGAGGGTGCATAGGATTTAATGTGCACAGCCATAAAAGGCAGACATGCAGTGCGGTGAAATGTAGAGCGCTTGTGTTGTTGTTAGGGTGCTATAGAAACTAATCTTCATATAAAAGAGTTATAGAAAAATAAAAGCATTCCCCCTCAACCTCCCACGTCACAGCTGCATTAACTTATTAAATATAATTAACAATGGTTTCATAGCAAAATGTGTTCCATTCCTCCGAGGCCAGAGTCAAGGAACACCGGGGGGGGGGGGAGAGGACCAGCAAAAGTCCTGCAAATGTGACACAGTTAAAGGGACACGTCAAGCATTTGGACCACTTAAATTGTATATATATAATAAACCGTAAAGGGGCACTCAATTCACCATATCCAGCATGTTGTGGTTATGGTGTTATGGTGCCAGGAGCCGCCTTGTGTTGTTCCACTGATATGTATTCCATCCATTTATGGAGGGAAGTCCTTGGCTGAGAGTGACAGCTTGGGCAAAACTGATATTTCTAAAGTGGATGTTATTGGAGAGAGAGCTGGAACGTTAAAGGTTAATAGGGCACACAAGGGGATAACCCTAGGTAAACAGTAAATAATAAAGAGGAACTGCCCGATGATGTTATGATTTCTAAAACGTAACATTTAATAAATTAATTTAAAAACAGTGTGTCACAAAGTGAAATGGTATAAGAAGCAAACTCACTTAACAAAGTCAATTTTCTATAAAGAAAAGGGGGAAAAATGAAAGATAATCTATGCATCGTTAACGACCAAACGGTCATAAAATTAGAGATCAGAAACGGTTTGATTTCTGCTCCGTATTTATGGAGGTAGAGACGTGTCCGTGATCTTGTGATGGTAGTTAGACTGCCAGGGAAAGACTAGCAGTCTGCAAGTGTAACAAAGGGAGAGTATGTGCCGATAGACTCTAATGTAACAAATGTCCTTGAAGTTAGCTGCTGTCTTTGCTGTTGCCTGAGCTCTGGCCTGAACAGAGAAATAAATCCACCTATACCCAATAGTAAGTATGGCAAAAAACAAACTCAATTGAAAACATATCCCTCCAAATTGCGCTGCAGTCAGTAAGTTAGACTATTCTAAACTGTGCCTTCGAGGGCACCTATTCTGTATTGATTTACAATCTGCTAATCTAAAGTTAGCACCATTGAGGAAAAATGAAATAATATTAAAGAAAAAACTGCATTTGATATACTGGCTTCTCTCTGTGTCCCTGATCTGTGGACAATCTTTTACCCACTATATTGTGTCTCGGGCAATACTTGGTATATTTATAGAAGGCAGAGGCCCGACACGCGTTTCGCCGGTCAGGCAGCTCTTGAAGGGCCACCTGACCGGCGAAACGCTTGTCGGGACTCTACTCTGCGCACCTCTGACTTCTATAAATATACCAAGTATTGGTATTAAGTGAGTTTACTTCTTATACCATTTCACTTTGTGACACACTGTTTTTTAACTAATATATTAAATGTTACATTTTCAAAATCAGAACATCATAGGGCAGTTCCTCTTTATTATTTTCTAAAGTGGAACTTCTGCTTCAGCAATATATCTAAAGAGGGGCCTAATTGCAGGTGCTGCACACAAAAGGTATGTTAACATCAGTGGTATACATACCACGGTCACAGGGGTCGCAGCTGCGACTGGGCCCGTCACTCCAGGGGGCCCGGCCGCCCTGCGACCAGGTACCAGCTGCCATGTTTTGTGGCCCCGGTCTGCGCGGCAAACTGCCGGGGCCGCATGTTAAGGGGTCCATCGGGTTGCCCATGCTGTCAGGGCCACCGATGGATATGGATTATCAGGGGGCCCGGTCAGCGCTGGGCGCTTTAACAGCGCGACCGGGCCCCCTGTGATGAGATCACTGCTGGGAGGAAGTGACTCCCCAGTCACTCCTCCCAGCTATCAGAGCCCAGGAGAGAGTCAAAGTGGGAACTCTGACTCCCATCAGGCTGAGCCACCACTGGACCCCAGGGAAAGTCACAAAATGTAGGAAACAGGAAACATTTTGTGTGTGTGTGTGTATGTCCCTGTATGTGTGTGTCTGTGTCTCTGTATGTGTCTGAGTCTCTATATGTGTGTGTGCCTGTGTCTCTGTATGTGTGTGTGTCTGTGTATCTGTCTCTGTGTGTGTGTGTCTCTGTATGTGTGTGTATGACTGTGTCTCTGTATGTGTGTGTTTGTCTGTATGTGTGTCTCTGTATGTATGTGTCTGCATGTGTGTGTGTCTGTCTGTGTGTATGTATGTGTGTGTCTGTATGTATGTGTGTATGTATGTGTCTGTCAGGGGGGATGTCTGTGTGTATGTGTTTGTGCCTCTGTATGTGTGTGTGTCTGTGTCTCTGTATGTGTGTGTGTGTGTCTGTTTTGCGTATGTCTGTCTCTGTATGTATGTGTATATGTATCTGTGTGTCTCTGTATGTGTCTGTGTCTCTGTATATGTGTATGTGTGTGTCTGTATGTATGTATGTATGTGTCTGTCGGGGGGTGTCTGTCTGTGTGTATGTGATTGTGTCTGTATGCATGTGTCGGGTGAGCCCACGGATCGGGGGCAAGTGGGGGCCCACGGATCATTTTCGCACCGGGGCCCCATGGATTGTGTGTACCCCAGTGGTTAACATATAAGAATTATCGCATTTATGTGTGTATCTATTTGTGTGTGTCATTTTGTGTATGTGTATCTGTGTGTCAGTGTGTATTTGTGCACGTGTGTGTGTATGTGTGTGTCAAGGTGTCAGTGAATATATCTGTGCTAAAGTGTGTGTATGTGTATCATGGTCTTTGTATATGTCAGTGTGTGTATTTGGTCTGTCAGGGTGTGCGTATACATCAGTGTGTATATCTATGTGTGTGTTTGTGTCAGTGTGTTTATATGTGTGTACTAATGTGTATGTATATCTGGATCCATCTTATTGGCCAGGAAAAGGTAGGCCATGCCCCAGTCCCCTAATGTGCTTCGTTACAATATCTAATGTTTCTTTTAACCAACAGATGATCTCTTCGTTATATCCCCCTACCCTAAGGTAGGAAGATGCTGTCACTATATAATATACTTATGAATAGCAGGATCCAATATCACTTCCGGGTGCAAGCGGCACCTACATTACTACATTTCTCAATATCCCAGTCTTGAGACGTGTGTACAAAGACACACATCACATGGCCTGCCCCTTTTAAAGTGTATTGCCAGCTAGCACCTCCCACACGCATCTGGCATACGATACACATAAGCCACTGCGGCCAACCACGTAGCGTGGCACTATACTCATGCGTCACATGATCGATCTCAAGAATTAGTAAATAGATATTTATAATGCTTGTTTTTAAATAAAAACACAAGTATCTATTACCATAAATAATAAATTTTACTGCAAAACGTTGTCAATGTATTTTGTAATATATATGCTAATTCTCTGTCTCACACTGATGATGTCATTTTGGCGCTAAATTTTAAATTGTAATGAAGTGTACTAGCTATATATACCCTTATGTACCAGGTTATTTGTTTCCATCACCACTTGATGAAGTCCTGTGTTGGTGAAATACGGTTGTTTTTAACTATTATTGTGTAATTAAATGAATATTGGCCATTTTAGCTTTCCTGTGCCGTATACCCTTTTTTAAAATTGTATTAATTTATTTTAACCTGGTCATCTAGAACTTTGAAGAACTACTTGCTAAACAAAATCCCAGGTGGGAATTATTCCTTCCACGCCCAGAGAATTGAGCAGTATCTCCAAATACTGAGTGGAGCAGTATCTCCAAATGTGAGTATAAGACCTTATTATTGACCATTTTTAAACATAACTATATACAGAGAGCACTATTTTTGCCTTGCTTTTGTTCTTTTTGGGACACCTTCACTTTAAGGACTTTGTTGAAAATATCATCACCTACATCCTACCAGTAAGGGATTATCATTACTGAATGCGAATTACACCTGAGCTCTACAATATGTGAGTAGAACTATTACGTATTGTAGTTTATCTGTTCGTGACATATTACACTATTTCAGTTTCTTTTTTTTCCTATGGTCATACCGGATCAAAAGAAACAATTATCTCAAGATTCACACAAGAAAACCAACAACAAAAGGTCATGTTTTAATCACCAATGTACCTCATTTTTTTTTCTACATCTTATATTTTGGACTGTAAATATTTGTTCATTTAAGTACCTTATTATTTATTTTATAATTGTGGTGCAACCTAATATCTGTTCTATTGTATACATCCTTTTTTATGGTCCGTGAGGGAGCCTTATACGGTTTTGCTGCCTGTCTTGAATACACTTTCTGGTTGGTCACTCAGCGCTGATCCATCTGTTGTCCGTCTACTAAATACAACTGACACATGTCTGGAAGAAAGCAATCCTTCAATGTTTCCCTTTTCTATCTTTTATTTGATTATCCTGCTCTCTATATGTTGTGTGCCCCAAAAGCACGCTATTTGCACGCTAACAAAGGATTTTTTGATACATGAAAAAAATAAAACATTGGGCAGCAGAAAAAATATGAAACACAGTAGAGATTCATATTTCAAAGAGAAGTCACATGTCTTATCATTTGCAAGGTATGGGGAGTAGGGCCTGACTTCCAAGATAGCCAGATGTGTATTCTTCTAGCTCCTTCGAGCAAGATTTCAGATCAAATAGCTAAAATTCTCACTAAAGGCAGTACAGGGTATACAACAGACCAACACTAACGCAAGCAGGTCATTATTGGACCTGAATCTTGACACTCTGACTATCTACTACCATCCAGCATGGTGGCCTAGCGAGACTGAAGATCCATTGGGTGGGAGAGACAGCCAATCTCCTGACTAGGGGCACACATCTCAGTAACTTTTCTATAGGCCAATTAATGCCTCACCTTCCCCCACCCCCCCTTTGGACCGGTGGGGTTATCTCAGTCCGTGTTAAGGAAACTTACCTCCTTGCAGTAGTGGAATTTAAGGCTGCTGACCTGGAGACCACGTGGCAAGTCCAAAATGGCATCTGCACCAAAACCTATACAAGGCCAAGCAGGCTTTGAAAATTGGAATTGGAGGAAACCATTAGGGGCTAAATTCAATGAGCTCTATCTGAAGTTCTGGATCCGAATAAACGGTCAACATTGCATCCCTACCTCACTTGACACACTGCAAGCCCAAAAACCTACTCAAGACCACTGTACCTCTTCTGGGCTGGGGGCCCACCTGGAGTCATATCCACCCCACCGTCCACAAAAAGAGTTCGCAATACCCTAGGGTTCCTGCAGGTCTGCAAACCGTCCGTCTGGAGTGAGAGGATCCCTGAACAAATGGAAATGGCTCCCATCAAGGCCTAGGCTCGAGGTGGTAGATATAGATAGCCCTGGTATGACAAACCAAACCCAACGTACTTGTATAAAGATTGGCCTTTGCTACCAAGTTTGGAGTGGTGAAAAGGTGTCCGACATGGAGACTGTTTGTCTAGTCTGGCCTACATGTGGCATTTGTTGACCAGAGGCTGGCAGAACTGTACATCCATAGAACTTACTCTACACTATTGGAGGGATTTCTGTTCTCTTCTCTTTACATTTCATGCATATAGTACCCAGTGGTATCACTACTTACTTTAACCTATCTGATATTGCCTAAATTACTAAAAAGTGTGAAACTCATACAGTGAGGGAAAAAAGTATTTGATTCCTGCTGATTTTGAATGTTTGCCCACTGGCAAAGAAATGATCAGTCTATAATTTTAATTGTAGGTGTATTTTAACAATGAGAGACAGAATAACAAAAAAACAAAAAAAATCCAGAAAAACGCATGTCAAAAAAGTTATAAATTGATTTGTCAATGAGTGAAATAAGTATTTGATCCCCTATCAATCAGCAAGCTTTCTGGCTCCCAGGTGTCTTTTATACAGGTAACGAGCTGAGATTAGGAGCACTCTCTTAAAGGGAGTGCTCCTAATCTCAGTTTGTTACCTGTATAAATGACACCTGTCCACAGAAGCAATCAATCAATCAGATTCCAAACTCTCCACCATGGCCAAGACCAAAGAGCTATCCAAGGATGTCAGGGACAAGATTGTAGATCTACACAAGGCTGGAATGTGCTACAAGACCATCGCCAAGCAGCTTGGAAGAAGGTGACAACTATTGGTGAGATTATTCACAAATGGAAGAAACACAAAATAACTGTCAGTCTCCCTCGATCTGGTGCTCCATGCAAGATCTCACCTCATGGAGTTTCAATTATCATGAGAACGGTGAGGAATCAGCCCAGAACTACACAGGATATTGTTAATTAACTCAAGGCACCTGGGACCATAGTCACCCAAAAAAATAATTAGTAACACACTACGCCGTGAAGGACTGAAATCCAGCAGCACCCGCAAGGTCCCCCTGCTCAACAAAGAAGTTTGCCAATGAACATCTGAATGATTCAGAGGAGAACTGAGTGAAAGTGTTGTGGTCAGATGAGACCAAAATCAAGCTTTTTGGCATCAACTCAGCTCGTCGTATTTGGAGGAGGTGGAATTCTGCCTATGACCCCAAGAACACAATCCCCACCATCAAACATGGAGGTGGAAACGTTATGCTTTGGGAGTGTTTTTCTTCTAAGGGGACAGGAGGAACAATGGACGGGGCCATGTATCATCAAATCTTGGGTGAGAACCTCCATCTCTCAGCCAGGGCATTGAAAATAGGCAGTGGATGGGTATTCAAGCATGACAATGACCCAAAACACACAGCCAATGCAAAAAAGGAGTGGCTCAAGAAGAAGCACAGTAAGGTCCTAGAATGGTCTAGCCAGTCCCCAGACCTTAATCCCATGGAAAATCTGTGGAGGGAGCTGAAGGTTCGAAGTGCCAAACGTCAGCCTCGAAACCTTGACTTAGAGAGGATCTGCAAAGAGGAGTGGGACAAAATCCCTCCTGAGATGTGTGCAAACCTGGTGGCCAACTACAAGAAACGTCTGACCTCTGTTACAAGCGTTTTGCCACCAAGTACAGTACGAAGTCGAAGTCGAAATTTATTTCACTCACTGACATGCAAGTCAATCTATAACTTTTTTGACATGCAATCTTCTGGATTTCGATTTCTTATTCTGTCTATCACTGTTAAAATACACCTACCATTAAAATTATAGACTGAACAATTCTTTGCCAGTGGGCAAACGTTCAAAATCAGCAGGAGATCAAATACTTTTTCCCTCACTCTAGTTGGCATTACCATGAGATAGTTTGACTACACAATATGTTTATAGTTCATCATAACTAACGCTCTGTAAGTTGCAGTCACTGAATCTTGCTACATGTCTATTTACCTCTCAATATGTCTCACTTACTACCAACACAGCTATTCCCATGTAAATCTAGCTAGTTTCTATAACACTAGAAATTGTGCAGTATTTAGGAATGACATTCAAATGTTTGAATATATGTTCTTCAATGTCCTTTTTTTTGCTGTTATGGACTGTATTCTCATGCACAGCAAAAATTATTTATTCTTATTTATTTATTTTATTGCAAGTCAACTGTCATAACAACGTAGCAATTGTAAAAAAAAAAAATACTACTGTTTTTTTTTGGGGGGGTTTAGAGGGAATCGCTGTATGGCTCCAAAACTTAAAAAAAAAAAAAAAACTTTAAATTGAAAGGTGGGATGAGACACATGAGTGGGCAGTTAACTTAAATGGGTACATGTTATTTAGGAAGGATAGGAAAAATAAGAAGGGTGGTGGGGTATGTTTGTATGTCAACCATGAGTTAAAGCCAAATGTTAAGCAAGTGGAATGCAATGAGGAAAATGTGGAAGCTTTATGGGTAAATATCTGCTTGGGAGAAAAGAAGGGAAACCAACTATTGGTTGGGATATGTTATAAACCACCTAATGTTAATATTGATGAGGAACAACAGCTGTTTGAGCAAATTGAGAAAGCTGCAAATCTGGGTAACACTTTAATTATTGGAGATTTTAATTACCCGGATATAAATTGGGACAGAGGGACTAGTGCCTCAGCAAAAGGAATTAGGTTTTTAAACTTGTTAAATGACACCTTCATGTCACAACTTGTACAAGCACCAACTAGAATGGACGCTTGTCTGGACCTGGTTTTAACAAACAAAGTTGATCTTTTGACCAACATTCAAGTAGGTGAGCACTTGGGAAATAGTGATCACAATATAGTGTCCTTTGAAATAAACTCAAAAAACAAAAGCACATGGGGAATACTAAAACATATAATTTTAAAAAGGCCAATTTCAATAAGTTAAGGGCAGCTTTACAATATATTGACTGGCATAAACTCTTTAGTGAAAAGAACACTGAGGATAAATGGATCATCTTCCAACAAATATTAGAAAGGTACATTTCTCAGTATGTACCATTGGGTAATAAATATAAAAGAAACAAATTAAAACCAACGTGGCTTAGTAGAGAAGTAAAACAAGAGATTACAAATAAGAAAAGGAAATTTAAAGCATTTAAATCGGACAAATCAGATGCATCCTATAAAAGATATAAGGAAGCAAATAATGCGTGCAAAAAGGCAATTAGACTTACTTAAAAATGATAGCTAAAGAGAGCAAAACCAACCCCAAAGCAATTTTTAAGTACATAAATTCTAAAAAACCCAAAAAGGAAAGTGTAGGTACACTAAAAACTACTACAGAAGTTACTAAAAACTTGCAGAATAATTGTAATTGGTTAAGTCAAGACAAGGTGCTGCAGCAACTAAAGAAAGTTAATATAAACAAAGCTCCAGGGCCTGACGGTATCCATCCACGTGTACTTAAGGGACTAAGTGTAGAAATAAGTGAACCTCTGTTTTTAATCTTTCAAGATTCTTTTCTTTCAGGAAGTGTTCCGGAGGATTGGAGGAAGGCAGATGTGGTTCCTATATTCAAAAGGGTTCAAAATCCTTGACTGGAAATTATAGACCTGTGAGCTTAACTTCTGTGGCTGGTAAAATATTTGAAAGGTTATTAAGGAATAATATTCAAGAATTCCTTGAGAAGAACATGTTTATGAGCAAAAATCAGCACGGTTTTATGAAGTATGTCAAACTAACTTGATTGCGTTCTACGAAGAAGTAAGTAGAAGTATAGATCAGGGTGTTGCCGTGGATGTGATCTATTTGGATTTTGCCAAGGCATTTGATACAGTTCCACACAATAGATTAATGTTCAAACTCAAGGAAATCGGTCTAGATGAAAATGCTTGTTCTTGGGTAGAACATTGGCTTAAAACAGAGTACAAAGAGTTGTCATTAATGGTAAATTTTCAAGCTGGACAGAGGTGGCAAGTGGTGTCCCTCAGGGGTCTGTTCTGGGACCCCTTCTATTTAACATGTTTATAAATGATCTTGAAGACAGCATTGAAAGTCATGTTTCAGTGTTTGCAGATGACACAAAACTCTGTAAAACAAAACAATGTGAGCAAGATATTACTTTGCTGCAGAGGGATTTAGATAGACTGGGATACTGGGCACTCAAATGGCAGATTAAATTTAATGTTGAAAAATGCAAAGTTATGCACTTTGGCATAAAGAATACACAAGCAACATATACCCTTAATGCAAGCGAATTAGGGATAACAACACACGAAAAGCACTTGGGAATTGTTATAGACAACAAACTATGCAACAATGTGCAATGTCAATCAGCAGTGGCCAAGGCCAGTAAAGTATTGTCATGCATGAAAAAGGGCATTCATTCTCGGGACAAGAATATCATTTTGCCTCTTTTTAAATCACTGGTAAGACCACATATTGAATATGCTGTGCAATTTTGGGCACCTGTTCTAAAAAAGGATATTATGGCACTAGAAAAAGTGCAGAGATGGGCTACAAAATTAATAAAAGGAATGGAACATATCAGCTATGAAGAAAGATTAACCAATTTAAACCTATTTAGTTTAGAAAAACGTCGCCTGAGAGGGGATATGATAACATTATACAAATATATTCGGGGCCAATACAAACCATTGTGTGGAAATCTATTCAAAACCGGACTTTACATAGGACACGAGGCCATGAGTTTAGACTGGAAGAAAGAAGATTTTGTCTAAGGCAAAGGAAAGGTTTTTTTACTGTAAGAACAACAAGGATGTGGAATTCTCTGCCTGAAGAAGTGGTTTTATCAGAGTCCATACAGATGTTCAAACAGCTACTAGATGCATACTTGCAAAAACAGAATATAAAAGGATATAATCTTTCAATGTAGGGTAATAACTGCTTGATCCAAGGATAAATCTGACTGCCATTTTGGGGTCAAGAAGGAATTTTTTTCCTAGCTTGTTACAAAATTGGAAGTGCTTCAGACTGGGTTTTTTGCCTTCTTTTGGATCAACAGCAAAAAACAAATGTGAGGAAGGCTGAACTTGATGGACGCAAGTCTCTTTTCAGCTATGGAACTATGGAACTATCTTACTATGTAACTCTGTAACTATCTTACTATGTAACTCTGTAACTATGTAACTCTGTAACTATGAAAGAATAACCAGCCCTCCTTCATGTGAATCGTCTATTGCAATGAGACTATTTGGCAATGGCAGTCACCAAATAATTAAAATGGCAAGATTAACATTACTGGGACTGACGGCGACAAAATTTATCTAAGGTCCATCTGTGTTTTTAGCTAGAGGCAGAAAGGCAGCAAAATCCACAGCAACATTTTTCATCTTTAAATGATTCAAGAAGGAGAAATATTGAAATAGTTTTTATTTGTATCTACTAAGATATAGAAGCAATAACGATCAATAGAAGTGACACAGAGTTATGATCAGTTTTTCATTAAAAATATCAGACAGATAATCTAAACCTAGACTTGGTTATATTTAGCATTTTTATTTCCATGCCAAAGTGTTCATGAAGAAACAGACTGTTTTCAATGATTAGTCACAAAAAGGTAAATTTGTCAGTGATAAACATTGTATTAAGTCTTTGAGTTTGAAGCATTCTTGAAAGCAGAATCAGGGTCAAAGCAGTCCATGTTTGGTATAAAACTTACCATGGTTATTCTCATCTTTGAACCTTAGTGAGTTCTGAACACTCTGTGACTGTTGCCAGGTTTCAACAAGGGTTCAACTTAGAGAGGCACAAAAATGTTTCAAAAATAGATCATTCAACAAGCAACTCTGGTGCTCAAAGAAACATTTCCCTATGTGATCTGTTCTCTAAATTACAGGATGAGTTGATAAAAATCTAAAATTCATGAAAGTGAAGTGGTGAATAAACACTATATTATTCCTAAAAAATGATGAGGCTGCTAAGTTCTAAACTTGTATATAGTACAGAGAAGAGTGCAGCATAATCTGAAAGTATGCCAAAAGGTATAATACTATGGATTGACCCAAACATTACAGGGACATAAATCTATCTATCTTTGGAGATTTTCCTTGTTCCTTGGATTTATTTAAGTACACAAGCTGCACAATTTTATTATTTGCATTTAAAATCAGAATTACTTATTGTGTATAAACAATTTTCTGTGGGTTGTAGAAATTATCAGAAGGTGTTCAACAAAATTTCGTAAGCCATCGCAGTTAGCTGTTATTATTTTTACCTGGAATGGCAACCCAAGAGCCTGCTCGTAGGATGTGGTTGTCACTTCTGGTTTGTGGTCTCACACTGCGCACTGATTTAATAGAACAAGAGGCTGGAATAAAGATAAAAGCATCAATGCTCATTCTCAAATGCCTCCATTGATGCCTCAGTAGATTAACTTGCACCAGCTAGATAACACAGCAGTTCCCCAAAATGGCCAAAGGATCACCGTGCAAATTCATTCACCATGTGAACTCAAGAAAATATAAGCAAATATTCCAGTGCCTAAAGTTAAGCATTCCACATGATTCTCACTTAGACCCTTCTTCCATCTTTTATTTTTCCACCCCCCTCTTCTCCCCCGTTATTGATCATGGGATAGCTAACAAATACTTGGTGGCACCTGCTCTGACCTGCATTAAACGCCCATGAAAGCAGAATAGTCCAGCTATCACAACAGACTAAGGTTAGGGTTTACCCTGCCTGGTCAACTCAGTGGAAAAAATTTCCACACCTCCTCCAGCAGAGGTGTACCAAAAGAATTGCATCTCCCTGCTCTAGGCTCTAATCATGGCTAAGAACTCTGTATAAAAGAGCTTCAGTGACTAGGTCTCTATGGCCATATGGTGGAACTGAATCCCCATCTCTGTTTGCTGTGATAGGTGATTTTAAGTAGCCTTGTAAATTGTAAAACTGTGTTTTTACATGTGTGCTGTTCTTTAATCTGTATTTTGTAAAACTGAAGATGAGTCCAAACTGTCTGAAGTGATCATCAGAATTGACTTAGCCTGGACCAAAGGTGGGCAATCTACCCCACTCCAGATTTTGTGGACTACATTTTCCCTGAAGCTTTGCCGACATGCTGACTATAAGAACATTATGGGTCATGTAGCGTTGTCTACCCCAGGCCTAGAGAGAGGTCTCCCTCCCCAACCGATGCCAGCCAGCTGGAACACCACGCATGTTTCAGAAAAACATCCTACTTATGTTTTTCCTTACTGCCATGGAACACGTACCACTCCAGATCGTCTCTGGTAAGGGGGTAATGCAAGGGTGTGAACGTCTCTGTGCCTGGCTTCCAAGATTTCCCAACACTATGCCCCGGATGAGTGGAGAGTTGACATCCAAATGAAATCAATGAGAACATCTAGCACTTGTGATGGTCAACAGATCTTCATCTGAAATAAGAATTTATGTTCCATATAAAGGAAAATATATAATGACCTGTCTATTTTGGGGGTTACGATTATATTAATATTGTAAAGGATATTCATGAATCTCAAGATATAAGTAACAATGCAGCTAGATCCCAAAGTATCGTTAAAGAATGAAATTCAACACCACAATCCAAGCACACAACAAAGTGGACATTGTAACATTTCAATACACAAAGTGTGTGTCTATACTTGACAAAGACACTTTGTGTGTACAAAACATCTGGACTGGAGTGCTGCTGCCAAGCTTCATTCTTGTATTTTGTCTGCTGTAGGTCAAGAGCATTGCAAATTAAGAAATAATTGAGCTGTAGGCCAACGTTAAATGTCTGGCATCAAAAATACAAATCTTCGTAAAAGAGACCAGTAATCTTGGGACAAGAAAGAGAGACCAATAGTTCACATCATCAACACAGGGGTTCCTTGTTTATTTGTAAGGGTGTTTGGGACAATAAAAAAGTATTTTGAGTTAAAGATCCACATTCCTAATGGCTCGCAGAAATTCTACATGATCCATTATTTCCATCAGCAAATTATGTTTTCAAATCCTGTATTGCACCGAGGATGACGCCATCCACATATTATTCTCAGTAATGTTCGATTTAACAGAAAGCTTGCATGACAGGAGGCACTAACTGCAGGGTAGTACCAGGACATATCCCAGTGCGCCATCCCTCTTCTGATAATGCTTCTGATAATGCTGTCGCCCCGGTTCCTCTGCCACCATATCACGAATGGAAAAGACTGAATTGTAAGATCACAGTAAGATAATGCAGTAACCCTGACCCCATTAATGTATGTAATTATATTTATATATTTGTAAAATAAAGTCTATTAGGGGAACATTATGCCATCTTGTCCACACTCAGCCTTCCTTCTCATAGTCTACGCTGGTGTTTCCAGAACCCCTGAATAACATTATATTGCCAGAGACAGAGGGTGGGGGAGAGAGAGTATGGAGTGGAAATTATATCAGATTATGCATGATTACTTTTGGGACATTGTGCCCCTCTCTTCCACTAGGTGGCACGCTCATACTCCTTCCCTGTATGTTTCAAGTTGAATGTTGCTTCTTCAATGTTTGAGAATTTAACCTTATAAGGATCCCTGTAGCCTTCTCCCAGCCTGGCTGGATTCTTCTCATGTGAAAGCACAGCCTGGCCAGAGCTGCGGCCTTTTAAGGCATACAGTGGTTGGCTGTTTATTGTTTCTAAGGAGGCTGCCAGAGAGAGGAAGCGATGGGGGAGATCAGACTCTTCTTTAGCCTTGAGGGGGTTGCACAGAGAACCTTCTCAAGCAAAATGTTACTAAATGTCCCGAGGAATTAAAAAAACCAAAAAAAAAAAAAAAAAACCTGCAGCCTACCTCATGCACCCCCTCCTTGCCTCTTTCTCACACACATTCAACATCTTAATTTCAAGAGCCAGATCATAGCTCTGTCTGTCACAAACACTAAAAGACACATTGCGGAGTGAGATCTTAGCGTTCGGTTTTGTTTTCTTCCACCAATTGTTAAAGAAAAAAAAATTGCACAGCAGAATAGCTTATCCGGGTGTAAATATTTTAACGTGTACTGCCAAGCTTTGTTTTATTTTAAAAGGTGGGCGCTGTCGTCCTAATCTATCAGGGATCAATAATACACAATATAGTCTCCATATTTAAACTGCAATTTTGTTTGATACTGCAACCTTTTATGGTTCCTTTTTGACCCAATAGTGCGTTCATTTGGTGACTCTCTGCTTTTGTTCTTGGTTGGTCTCGGTTATTCGTTATTGTGGTTTGTTGGTTCACTATAATTTAGATTTCTCTATATTTGGAGGATGTGCTTGTTAAAGGGACACTCCAGGCACCCAGACCACTTCTGCCCATTGGAGTGTTGTGTGTGCGAACTCCCATCATCCTTAACCCCCTGCAAGTGTAATTATTGCAGTTTTTATAAACTGCAATATTTACCTTGCAGGATTAAGTTCTCAGCTAGTGGCTGTCTATCAGACAGCCATAGAGGGACTTCCGGGTTCTAAGCGACACAGGACGTCCTCGCGCTATGCATGAGGACCTGCAGCGTCGCCGGAATCCCCATAGGAAAACATTGAATAATACTTTCCTATGAGGAGGTCTAATGCACTCGCGCGGCCATTGCAGCGCATGCGCATTAGGTCTCCCTCGCTGGCTGGCGTTGGTTGGGGAGAAGCGTGGGCAGAGCCTGACCCATCACCGAGGTACATCGGCGCTGGATTCAGGTAAGTCACTGAAGGAGTTTTAACTCCTTCAGCAACATGGGATGGGGGGTGGGAGGGAGAGGGGACCTGCAGGGTTCTGCAGTGCCAGGAAGAGTCCCTTTAAGCCTGTCCAATCCAAAGCTTACCCACACCTTGCATGTACAATCTTTAGAGAATACTGACAAGTGTAGCAAATAAAATGGTTAGAAGTAAGCAATAGCCGTATAAGATTAGAAACGTAAGATAAATGGGAAAAGATAGAACTAAACACACTCTAATATGTATTATCTATGAATCAATATCGTGGTAACATTCCCCACCCTCTAAATCTATCTGTTTCCAGCATGAGAGTGCTAAAAATCCATTGATCTGGTGAACATTTTGGAGAATTTGATGTAGAAAACTTTCTTTAATCTTTCATTTTCAGATATTGATTTCAAATCCAAATATAATAAACGTGTCTGTGGAACTGTAATGGCTATTTATCTACCCCTCACTGTAACCAGTCTTGCAATCTAGTTTTTAATTCCATTTTCAATCCAGAATTAAATACTAAAAAATGGGGAAACATGCAAGGGGTTAATAATTGGCAAGGCACTATATGTAAACGTTATGTATGTCTGGAAACTCCAGAAGAGCCCTGTTGAATTTATTTATTTATAAAACATTTTACCAGGAAGGTTACATGTAATCAACACATAGACTACAAAAACAAAGTGGATTGGCCCACTTAACAATAAGCTCCATAATTTGGTGTAAGACAGTGAGATTCAAAGGGGACACTAAAGTGTTTGAAATGTCAATATTAAAAAATGAATACAAAAAACTTACAGATTTCCTTGTAGATGATAACAATTATAAACCTCCTAACAGATAAAGAAAACATTTTTAAAATAACAGCATAGTAAGGCAACCCCTTGTTTATTATGTGACATAACCGTAATCAACTGCTTCATGAGGTTCCTGGGCATGATAGTCCACAATAGTTTTATATAGCAAATCAGCACGTAAATGGGCACATAAAAATGAACACTTAAAGGGATACAACTTTGTACACCTTCAATGGCTGTCTGGGGGACGTTCTGGGAGACAGCTACTGGAGGCCGACTTTGTGCTGCAATGTGAATATTCTACTACTCTGGAACTGCAATGTTTTACATGGCAGCACTAAATGCAAAAGGGACCCAGCACCCAGACCCCTTCAATGAGCTAAAGTGGTCTGGGTGCCTATAGAGTCTCTTGAAAAAACTACACTAAGTCACATCCAACGGATTCTTCATTGATGATACCTAGCGGCTAAGATGGCTACTGCTGTTTAGCAGATTATCAGATTCACAGAACAAATAACATGTCACATTGATACCCTAAACCTCTGTCTTTATCAGTAGACACAATCACACTGTCTCAGAATAATTCCGGCCAATTTTTGGTGAATGTTTGGAGAATGTTTGGTTCGGTTTATCAAACCTGTCAGATTTTTCACCTGTTGCTTAGCTAACATTTTGAAATTCCGTCATTTTTTTTACCAATGCACTAGATTTATGAATATTTCAAACAGAAAAAGCGGATACATTTTTCCACTTTAGAAATTTGATGGCCTTCTGAAATGGAAATTTGTGCAACTGGTGGAATGTATTATGGAAGAAAAACTGGCACTTTTAATATCACTTTAATAAATAACCAACCAAAATAATGACGTCTTTTAACTGTTTTTTTTTTTTCCAGAAAACTGATGTATACTCCCCCATTGCCTGCTATGAAAACAGCATAATGTTAAACCATCGCCAGCACCTTGGAACGCAGCGTTGAATAGTTATGGAGGTTGCTCTATAGTCTAGTCTGCTCTGAAACAGCAGAAAGAAAAAAAAAAAAACAATTCATCAACTTAGGCATAGCTTTCCATTCCTCCATTGCCCAAATATTTCACTCATTATTCAACAGCAGTTTCTTACATTTTGCTCCAAGAAGTGGAACTATGTTCGCTTTTCTAAACCCTTTGAAGTATAATAGATTGTGTTTTTTGGGGGCACCAATGGGGTACAAACTGTAGGCCAGATATTGCTCTGTATACTTTGAGTCAGCCCAGTCTGATCTGGGTGTTTTTTTTTTCCCCAAGGAAACATTACCTGGCTCCTGGAATGGTGGGCCTTCAGTTAAAACTGGACAAGTTTGAGTGTGAAACATCAAGCAATATTACATTAAAATACACTAAAATATTTTACCAACTGAATGCCACACATGCAGAAAGTACTTTTAAATTGAGTAACAACTGGAAAAAACTTTTTCAGTGGGTCTCCCAATCATCTACATTAAGGTCAGTCTAGCACAATATATCAACAAAGGCAATACTTGCATCCAGGAGTTGAATCTCTTCTGCAGTCCAACAATTCTAAAATATAAACGAGATCAATCATGATTATTAAATAAATAGGGTGTGTGACTTGCCCACATTGCAGAAATCAAATAAATCCCTAATAATTCAACTTTAGACTGAAACAATCTAACAATACAGAGTATATTTTAAAGAAAATGTCCTCTGAAAGATGTTTCTCTGCTCATTGGTTTAGAAAAGGCAACAAATAAATTCCTTATAATTTTATGGCCCACCTATTCCAATTAATAAATTTGACCGAGGTGATCCACTAGCCATCAACCAAGCAAGTTTGCAAATTTTCAATAAAGTTAGAAAGAGTCAAGGACAATGTTCAATGATCTGCAACCTACTCTCCGCTAATACAAAATGTTTGTAGCTGAACTACAAGAAACATGTGGCAACAGTGGTATTCGGCAATAAGCAACTAGTCTTCATCAGACAACGGTTACTTGTGTGACATTCTAATTTGGTTGGACTACATTCTACGAAAGGACGACCTATAGTTATTCAAATGTATTTTCCCTTGTGTTGCCGGTTTTTCTTCATCTGTTATAGATCTAGTAGATTTTTTTCTTTTTATACTTTTTTTTTTCTTCATTATTTATACTTTTGATTTTCAACTGGTGATAATGAAATGTTTTGACAGATATGTGAATTGATTGGTTGGTCTGTGTCTGAAGAGTTCTCCCTCCTATTTAATCTGGGCACTGTAACATGTATGTTAAACTGACAAATAAGATATTTTAATAACATGAACAGTTTATGGTGCTTGTTTTTGGTGTAATTTTTGTATTTTGAATATTTTAAAATGTGTTTTCCCCTTCTTAAAGCCACAAAATATAGATGGCTGTAATTTAAATGCCCTTGTAACAGATCTGTGAATTCTCTGTCCAGGAACTAGAAGACCTGGCCCAATCTTGTTCACAATTTTATGGTTGTTAAAGGCAATAAAATGGTATCATTTGGAACAGATTATTTCAATTCAGATAGAATAAATTTGTTTGTGCACGATCCACTTTGCCATTTTTCTTGTTAATACTTTTTGTAAAACTGTAAAGCGATATGGAAGATAGTCACTATATAAAATGCTAATAAACGTGCTTCCTACCACACTTCCACCAGTAGTTAAATAAAATCACTCGGAATTCATAATGTCCTCCATTTTATAGATCTAATATACAGTAACTTGCAAATATATCGAATAGCTGCATTTAAACTGGGTTTTCATTCTCAAATTACTTCAGTCTCATTAAGTTATTTAAATTCTGTGTTTGTATAGAATTGCAGAATACACAACTGGAATTTTATAAATAAAACAAAAACCTCTGAACCATCCTATTAGCTTGAACTGAAATATGACACGTTAAGGATAAAAATAATCCAGCGTCCCACTTGTCAATGTTAAACCAACGCCATCTTAAGCCGCTATCAAACTGAGCATCACAGAAGGTCTGGCAATTTAAATTAGTACCAAAAATGCAGGAGAGCAGAGTTTGTTTAGACATGACATTGGAAGTCGGAATATTTCCCACGAGGCTTGCCATATCTACAGCAAAGAGACATTTTGGGAAACTTACAGCGGTTATCTGTAGCACGGACTGAGATTAACACAAAGTGTGACTGGAAAAAGAGGACACCATTAAACTCACAAAACAAAACACATGGGGGGCTGCATGTAATTGTGGGGACGGGCAGATCGGAAGAATAAGCCCATACACTGTAAATGTAGAGTAAATCATCGCTTTCTATATACACATAACTAGTGATTGGATTTTATCACCAGGGAAGGGAAACATTATATGCTACATTTTCCAACAAAAACATATTTACAAATAGAAAAATAATGCATTTAGTGGCAGGATAGCATTCAAAAATATCTATAAACAAAAATTAGGAGGAGATTTAAAAGAAAAAAAATGCCCCACTTTTGTTAACATTATGTTTGTTTCGTTGTTTTGTCTTTTTCTTTTTTAATTTTAAGTGTATTTGTCAAGGTAAACTGTATTTTATTTTTACACAGAAGGAAAACATCTGTTCATTGCATTAGCAAATGTACGGATTTGTTTTGATAAATAGAAAATGAATGTAACCTTTTACCAACACGGTGCAAAGTCATACAGAGCTCTGCCTGTGTCTGTGCAACCCTCTATGCTGTAGGAGGGCAATTTGCAAGTCTCCCTTAAAGGAACACAAACATGTTAAAACTACCATCTAGCCCCCTAAATATAGTAAATCTTACTTTTATTTAAGTCTGGATCTGCTAGCTCTGCCCCTGTCTGCTCTCTGCTGACATCATCAGAAGTGGTGGTCTGAGCCAATCACAATGCTTCCCTATAGGATTGGCAGATCAGTGGCAGAACCAGCGAAAGTCAAACCCAGCCCTGGCCAATCAGCATCTCCTCATAGAGATGAATTGAATCAATGAATCTCTATGAGGGAAGTTCAGTGTCTCCATGCAGAGGGAGGAGACACTGAATGTCAGTCACACTGTGCAGCACTGCCTCAGGAAGCACCTCTAGCAGCCATATAAGGAATGGCCAGTGAAGGTATCCCTAGGCTGTAATGTAAACACTGCCTTTTCTCGGAAAACAGTGTTTACTGCAAAAAGCCTGAAGGAAATGATTGTACTCACCAGAACAAATTCAATAAGCTGTATACTATACAATAAACTGGTTCTGGTGACTATAGTGTCCCTTTAATATATATCTGTTCATTTATTTATCCGCTTAATAAAGGGAAAATATCACTACACTGGTAATTATACCACGGACACTGAAAACAAAGATTAAAAAATAAATATCACATTTAACTGTTCATCTTTTCTGTGTCATGTGACGCTTAAGATTTCTCAATTAACATCACAATCCAGTTGATTCCAGTGAGGAAATGCATCTCAAATGAGGGGAACAAAAACATTAGGGTTACGAGTGAAATGATAACTCCATAACACCCCCTCCCCCAAATTGCACCAAAGTGTTACATATAAACCCATGTCACAAAATGTTGGAGCCACTAAAGGGGATTTAAAAAAAAAAAAAAAAAAGTTAATGTATATGCAGCATTCCTTATACATAAGCACCATCGTTTAATTTCTCTCTATGCCGACAGCCAAGTGCATAACACAACGCTTATAACAATGATTGACGGGAAGATAGAGGCACCTAGTTGCAAGAGCCATTATTTCCTTAATTAAAATTTTTACTTTGTTTGTTTTTTACACATCAAATACATATTTGTTAAAAATGGGTGATAATTCACAATATTAAAAATTCTGTGAAGTGACAGTTCCCCTCTAACCCGGTCTTTTCACAACGCGTTTTACTACTATTCATACTATATTTTAGCGATTTATTGGGAGCGCAAGCTGTGACACTGAAGAGTAAGTGGGGAGTGTGTAGTGACTAAGAAAATAGAGGGCAGCTAGTAATGTTGGGGAGGGGAATAACAAGGGAAGCTTAAAGAGACACTATGCAACATCAGAACTACATCTCACTGGAGGGTTTATGTTGCTAATGTGCTCTGGTGCCCCCTCCCTCCCTCCCCTCCAGTTTAATATAAAACTGTTTAGGAATTGGTTTGCACTGCCTGAGACTTCCCCCATGTTGCCTACACCTATAATGCAAACGTAACTCTTGCGTATTAATGACGTCCATTTCATCCAATGGACAATATTGATCAGCCAATATTGGACAATATCTATGGGCTTACCAGCACAGGTTAGGCATTTTTACAAACATGATGTCCTAGTGTTAAACGGTTACTAAATGGCTAAATTTGAAATGAACATTCCACACACACCTAAAGCATTTGATGAAGTGCTTTATATGTGAAGAGTGCGTCCTCTTTTTTTTCCCCCATTTTACAAAACGTGGAGATTACAATAGAAATAATCACTTTTATGAATTAACGGTCAAGCAGACAACACATCCGGTTATATCCTGGATATTTATCTCGGTGGAACTAAACCCAAGAGGCAGCACTTGCCCAGAGCACCTGCCCTGCAAAGACTTCTCATTGAGTTGCATTCGGAAGTCTGTGATTGGACAGTCACAGAAAGTCTGGGCGGGGTTAGAAGGGGAGGGCTTGCAAAGGCTGCAGACAAGGGAAATGCTGTTTTTAGACATGACACCATAAAGAAATGTTCGTGTTTCCATTGTGGGCATAACTACCAAATGGAGATTTTTTTTTTTTTTAAAGTCATTGTATCTAGGCCACAGACAGTTGGGACACTGTGCAATATAACCACTTCAGTGAGCTGTGGGGATTATGTTCTTAGTTTAAGACACTGTCCATCAATGGGAGACAAGAATAACTGACAATGCTGGGAACACAACTGAAACGGCTTTTCAAAATCACCCGAATGATGCTGCAGACAGAGCACACAATTCTGATAAGCACTGTTGCAAAATAGTGAGCATTATTTGGGATAACGCAATATCCATCGGAGGTGCATAAATGTGGCTGTCAGAATGGGGAAAGCAGGCAAGTTATTGTATGTCAAAATATATAAATAAAAAATAAAGAGTAAATTATAACATATTTAAAAAAAAAAAAAAAAAGTGATGACTGTGTTTAATAAATAAAATTTTCACTAAGAGGAAAATGCACACAAGTAGAGCAAGGTACATGGTTTCAAAAGTGAGTTTATTTGCGAGTTTGGGTGACAAGAAAGAAAATATCTTGGCACCATAAGGACACACAGGGGGTCTTGAAAAGGACATACATCCACAACAGGTTAATGAAACGTAAGACACATACTAAAGATCAGACACACAGACCGTAAATGACATCATCCCGAACTACAAAACATTACTAGGAAGTAACAAAGTTGGCAAACTGGCAAACTCACACACACACACACAAATTAGTGCCTTGAAAACAGTGCATTTATAAATTATATAAACAATATTAAAGCAAAAGGCAGTACTGCAGCATGAATAGAACGCAGTGTTTGGTAAAACCATTTATAAATATAATATATTGCACAAAATAACAAGTCAGTGTAACGGTAACACAGGCAAGGGGAATACATGGGGTGCACATTGATGGGTAGGGGGGGAAACTTGTGTAATAACTATTTGGGGATGATTGCAGGAATATACAAAACTCCAAGTCAATTTAGTTTCCCACTGCCCGAGTTCAGGCCTGTTCTTCAGATATCGGCTCTGAAGCCCCGGACGTCCCTCAGTTGGTTCAATGCCAGGAAATTACTTGTATTCCTGTTTTTTCTCACTGTTCTGCTTCCTGCCTCAGTATTAAGATTTTTTTTTTCTCTCCTCTCTACGTTCTGGGAACGTGGACAGATTTCTACCATGTCACAAGATAGTCAATTCACTGCCAAAAAGGTCTGGAACATATTGCTCTGCAAATTATAGCCTTCATTCACTTGTCATTAGACTGCTCTTTAAACCATCACAGGTCAATCTGGCAGGAATTCTAGCAGAAAGGGGACACAATAGGTACTATTCATGGCTCGGTTGGTGATGTGTGAGGCGAGATTGGCAAATAAAACTCCAGCCACTTGGTAATGCTAGATCAGTTGACTTTGGCTCCTGTTTTTTGGGGGTTTGTTTTATTGGCACTGAATGTGAGAAGTCAATAAATTGTACAACTCATTTACAAGTATCTATAATGTTTATTCTTTATCTGGCCAATGCCCCAACTTGTAAAAACAGTTCCTCTCCTAAGGTCAGACCTAATTTGTAAGTTGAAAAAAAAACAAAAAAAAAAAAAACGTAATTTTCCAACCATTCTTCATCAGTCTTACAAATATTTGAGCAAATACACATTTAATAGACTGATTGGTTCTCATGGCACAAAGTCCAAAAAGGTCTCATAAGGCATCAAGAAGGTGGGACACTGGAATCTTAAACACAAGGGTGTGAAACTGGCATCTAAAGTGTTTTGCAACCCCTTTTTAGAAATAAAACAAATTCATAAATAAAATAAAAACTCTCTCTAAAATGAACATTTAATTCAGGAACTCACACCTGTAGGTAATGTGACCCAAGTCACGTCACATCCAAGGTTAGTGTTTCAAATGTGCTCAAACAAAACATATTGTGATGTCTACCCCTACCTGGTAGCTCCTTTCAACAAAGTGAGATCCATTGCTAAAAAAAAAAAAAAAATTTTTTTTTTTTTTAAAAAGGAAAAAAAAAAAAAAAAAAAAGGGCCATACAAAGGTGTGCTCTCTCCAAAGTCTGAATCCTGTAGGTCAGACAGTGCTTGCCCCACGCGTAAATCTGTGCTCCATACTGTGACTTTCTCTCTGTGCACACGTTGTGGGTGGGACACAGTGGTCAGAACATAAAACAGTAGCCACCCCTTCACATCTGAGGTCCCCACAGATTAGAAACCATCCCACATAATCCAGGAAGCTTTCCCACGGTCCGTATTGCTCTCCCAAAATTAGACAAGGCACAAGGGAATAAAAAATTGTGAACGCTGGTTTTTGGTCCACTTCCTTTTCTTTCTTAACACAAGATATATCCCAAATTGCAGACCAGCCTGGTGCTTTAGCAGAAATTCAAGAAGCATCCTGTAGATCATGTTTCAAGACAAGGGAGAGCATTGTTGGTGAATGCTCATCTCATCTCCTAAATGTACAGGAAAATACACTTTTATATTTTTGTGTGTTACCAGCTTTCAAAAATTTGTAATGCCAGAAAAAAGAAGTTCCAATTCCCATTTTAAAAAAAAACCAAAAACATGTTACGGAGGATGGATCTAGTGAAGCTTGAACGAGTTGACCTTGATTGCACATAGTGCACAGTAAACCATAACTAAATCCCCCTCTGATGATTGTATTGTCCATTCCTCTGCATCTCCACAGAATAAAACGACCTTTGATGTGAAAATTCCTGGACAGGTGAAAGGGTGGCTGTGTGAAAAGGTAGGGTTGAAGTGACAGGAGAGAGAAGATACGATCACATCCTTTTCCCCCTCCATCTAATCCTCATTCTATTTATGTCCTGGGTGGTCCCAACACATGTGAAAAGTGGGAGAGCAGGTAACACCAGCTACCACAGGAAGCAGACCCAAGACAGCTGCTCTATTTGGACAATTTGCTGATAACACGAATCAGGGCCCCATTCTCGTCTTTCAGACGTTGGTTGTCAGCTTTCAGATCTCCAAGGACCTGACAGAGAGGATCACAAGAAGTCATCAGGAGTAACATAAAGGGTAAACGCAATATGAAATTCCTAAGCAGCCTGATTTAACAACATGTAATTAAATAAAATAAAAATCTTGGTGCAAGGGAACAATAACCAAAGCATTATCTAATCACAGAGGCAATCCACCAGACAGTCAATGATGTTTGACGTTAAATGCAAATGGAATAAAGAATATAAGTGATCATCTGACAAATAAAGGAAAGGGAGCTCAGTTAAGAAAATAAAAATATGTCCAAAATCATCTCTTTAATACGGACATTTGACAAAATAATAATAATTAAAAAAAATAAAAAAATAAAAACTTACCTTCAATTCGTCCTGTAACTCAGACATTCTGCGCTCCAAAATGAGCTTTTCCTGTCATTTGAAACAGGTACAGGAAGATCACAGTGGGAAGAGAAAAGATGAATGTTAAACAATCATTATATGTACTTAACTGAACTTTAAAATGAATCTAAGCACATAACAGATCCTAAAGCTACAAATACACAATTTAAAGGGACACTATAGGCACCAAAACAACTTTAGCTTAATGAATTCGCTTTGGTGTACAGATCATGCCCCTGCAGTCTCACTGCTCAATTCACTGCCATTTAGGAGTTAAATCACTTTTTTATGCAGCCGTAGGCCCCACCCCATTGTACACCCTTCCTTAACACTTCCTGTAAAGGAACTAGATATTTTCAGTTCCTTTAGTGCACAGTCTGTTTAATCAAAAAAAAAAGAAAAAAATTCTCCTGCTTTTTTAATAGTGTTCTAGAGCCTGCATTAGCCTCCTGTGTAAGATTAAAGTTCAATTTACAGAGCAGGAGATAAAAACTTCTAAAGCAAATCAAAATCTGATTGAAAATGAAAATTCTTTCATGCAGGTTGTGCCAGTCACAGCTAGGGGAGGTGTGGCAAGGGCTGCATAAACAGAAACAAAGTGATTAAACTCCTAAATTGCAGAGAATTGAGACTGTAGGAGCATGATCTATATACCAACACTGCTTCATTAAGCTAAAGTTGTTTTGATGCCTGTAGTACTCCAAATTATATATTTAGGTACTTTAGGATCTATTCATTTAATATAAATCTTCTCTCCATGGTTCTCTTAACACCCTGATTAAGGGGTCTGGAGTCACATTCCACTTATCCTCTGGTCCAGCCTCACTTCTGTCCTTCTCTGAAACCACTGGCACCACTCACGGTGGATTCAATGCCAGTGCAAAGAGTCAGAAACTGAATTCCCCCAACTAATGCAAGATGTGCACACTCAATGGATATCACACCAAGCACAGTGCATATACAATGTAGTTATTGTAATGGGGAGCAGAAACACATCTTGTAAGAGTGTCCTCCTCTATCACGATTGTTGGTATAGACCTGTAAGCCATAAGCATAAAGGTCTATGCTGGCAATTAATAGGTGGGAAAGCTATTCTTTCTGATAAACAAGGAATCTACAAATCGTGTTATGCTATAGAATCTAGTGCCAGGGTATGCATATCAGGACAGGTGTAGGGCTTCTGTAAACAAAACATTACAAAAGGGAGACTTTTATTCCTTACCTTCTTTTCCGTGTCAATTAGAAAAGATCTGTCAACGCTACGTTCCTGTCGCTGCGAAAAAAATATTGTAAAAGAAAAGGAGTCGTCTTATGAAACAGAATTAAATTGAACAGAACTATTTGCAGGCAAGTAGACAAAGGTATTGCAGCTAAACTTCATCTCTAAAGGATTCATGTTCAGGTTGATATTTCATTCTTGGCACGAATTATATAATCAATGAGTTGCCATTCTTGTCCATTGTATAATGCTTTACCCCAGCACCTTTCCCCTTACATTAGGTATGGTTTTAAGACATTTAGAAATGTACCCCATGTTCTTTCCATAACAGCCCCTAGCTGAGAGAGGACATTGCTGAATCAAAATATTTGCAATTTTGTACCGAGTGCACCTTGTGCTGAACTAAATGTGACTGTGCAAACAGTATGCCAGCATGTTGGGATTGGTTTGTTTCTTTCATTTTTTCTAAAATCTGATGTGGATGTGAACAATCACATTATGTGCTTTCTTGATTCTGTATCAGTTTTTCTAAATGTAAATGTACTCGTTTGATGGAAACCGTCCACTTCCTTACTTGTGTTGCTCTTTCCAACTCTGCCTTAGTCTCGCTGACCAGGTTTTGGGTGTTTAGCAGCTGGGAACGTAGGCGGCCATTGTCTCTCATTAAGTCTTGATAGAGCTACAACACAAGAATCCCAAACAAAACTTGATCAACAAGCTCTCTGCTTGGCTGTCACCCATTTATTTTTACGAATTAGAATTACCAAGTATTGACATGTAAGACCACTGGTTCAAGGGTTTCAGTTCTCCAATTCCTAGAATGTATCTTTATGTTCAGTATTGCTAGTAAAAGGTTTAATAAACAGAACACCACCCTCTGTGATCAATCAGTATATTCATCACCATGCAACAGGCAGATATTTCCGATTCTCAGTCACATTGTACTATGCATTGAATGCGCAATTAAACCAATGACATACACATGCACCAAATGCGCCACAACGCAGAGTCTCACTTTCTTAAAGTCTTTTGTGTCCCGATGTTCAGCTCCTATTGCCGTCTCTCCGCGGCTTGTTGTATGTGCATTGGAAACATTATCTGACCTGATGGAATTCCAAAAACAGAAGCAAATCAGACAAACTACAAAACTATACGCACAGAACTTAACATTACTGAATAAGGGTGGCAACCACCTCCCAGTAAGCAGTTCATATTGTGTGTGCATGCATCACAACTGTACCAGTATGTAAATAACCTATGTGTACACAATCACCGGCACACGTATACGTTCAAATGTTTCTTACCGAGAGCCAAGTCCATCTACCTGGGAGGAAAAAAGAAGAGACACATTGTGTCACATAACTTATACACTAGTGTGTTATTTATTTAAGCCTGCCCTTTAAAGGATACTTTATGACTCTGAAAACATTCTTTGGCAAGTCACTTACCATTTAGGAGAGAAACTCAGCCAGGCAGCAACAATAAACACAAAGCCAGAAATTATAAAGAATGAACCTGCCATGTACATTTCATCCAGCAACACACATTCCCTTAACATTACCAAAATGATATTATGAATCCCCCTATAGTTAGTAGATCCAGGCACCTGAGCACGGGGTCTCTCCTCTTCACCATCCTCCTCTTCGGATTCCTCTCCATCACACTGACAAAATAAAAATAGAACACTTGTTTAAAAAACAAGTTACACGGAAAAGTGCTAAATTGTAACAAATCTGCAGGAGCATGTTATAGGTACTGCTCAACAGTTTTTCTAATATATAACAAAGATCTGCTAAGCACCATAACTACTCCAATGCTCTATAATGGTTATAGTGCTAGGAGTACCATGGCTCTGTCCCATGGTAACAAACTGCCTGACACTTAACTGGCTTTGTAAGGCTCCCATGGTCCTTCCAGTCTACAGAGATATGCTAAAGCAGAAATTTACAATTCTGGATTAGCCTACAAACTCATAGTGACTGGGTATTTATTTATGGGCTGAGAATGTCAGCTGATTTTCTCTAAAAAAAAAAAAAAAATGTAACGTGACTTGAGTTGAACAAACTCAAGAGAGCAAGAACTGATAATCACTTTTGTGATAACTATAAATACTGCGTGAAACTGCTTTCTAAACTTCTCTGCCATTTTATTTCAACCTTGCGATAACTGTTTTGTTAACGAATTGCTCCAAGGAGAGAATATCACCCTTCAGATTCAGTTTTTGTAGTACTTGAAATAAAATTAAATTGTAAACCATAAATTAAAAATACAGTTTTAGCAGAAAATACAAAAGTAATCGACAAATACTAGCCATTTTTACACTCATCATACACTGTAACAGGAATAACCCACATCTACCTTGTAAAAGTTCCTGACACGCAGAATTTCCATTTGAAAGAAAGATTGTATTTTTGAACCAGAAGATTTACATAGTAAAAAGCATGTTCTATGTCGGATTTAAATCTCACAATTTTTCCTTCCTCTTAGACTTGTCTTGGACATTAATCTACATAAAACTCAAACTTTATGCACTCCTCCCTCCCCCCCATATAATTGCTAGATGGACAGATTCATTGCAGCAAAGAAAATATGAAAAAAATCTAGTGACATCTTACATCTTTGGTGGTTAATGGGACCCCCGTGGATCTCCGCTTTCCTCTCGGCCTCCTCCGGTCCCGCACACCTGCCTTGTTTCTCCCTCCTCTCTCATCACTTTCCTTTTCATCCTCTTGGGATTTCTGCATCTCTAGGGAGTGCAATAATTGCTTCTTAAGGCATATTCAAATAATACATGTTAGATAAACTTAAAAACACAGTCAGCAGCCTCTTTAATGCGTACAGCTGCTATATTCTGATAAATTGAATGTGGTGGAAATAATCTAATTTTGCTACAAAGCAGAGTACTACACGGAGTACAACAAGTTTCAGATATAAGCCAGAATCTTTAGATGGATTTGCTTTTAACCCCTTAAGGACCACACTTCTGGAATAAAAGGGAATCATGACATGTCACACATGTCATGTGTCCTTAAGGGGTTAAAGTTTCCAATCATTGCTCCTATTCTCTCCTTACTATCACTGTGCTCAGAAAAATCATACGGATGCTCCCAAAAGGTCAGTCCACATATACTGAGAAATCGTAATGAATCCCTGAATCATATATATAATTAAATAGTAGGAGGGTAATCACACCCCTCAATCTCCTCAAGTCAACATTTGTTCCTAACCTTCACCTTTGTTCTCCAATGTCTGTGCTGCTCCCCTCCGGGTGGATGAAGATGGAGTAGTTGTTGGATCAGGTGTGGTTAGTCCCAAGAGGTCAGATTTCTGCAAACTGGCAATTCTTGCTCTCCAGCTGACTTCAGTCTGTAACAAACATAAATCAGGACATAACCCGATAATCACCAACAAGAACTATGCAAAAAACACTGTTCTTCACTAAATACAAAAATACTTGTGTTACAGCTTACTCACCCCATCATCATTCATTGCACGGCTGCTCCGGGCTCGTGACAGACTGTCTTTGCTGCTCTCCTCTTCTTGGGTTTTCACTGGTTCTGCCTCGGCCTTTTGATTTTCTTGTTGTCCCTTGATCACTTTTTCAGCCTCTTTCAGGTCTGTAAGTGTCACTCCCTGCAGTAGAAGGATATGAGGAGAGGATAGTAAAGGGCAGGACTGAATGTATATGTATATGTATGTGTGGAAAGGGTTCAACAAGAGAAACAAAGTGGAATATAATGTTTAAAACAATATGATAAAATAAGGCAGTTAAAACAATAACCTGAGTTGATCGCCGAGACTGACGGGCATGACGAGACCTGGCTTTGCGCTGAGCTTCAGCCTCCTCATCTCTCACAGGAGTCAAATAAGACCTGGAATGATTGAGGAAAAAAAAAAAAACCATTTATATAAATAGAACTCACCCCGTTGCACACCATAGACCGTATAGGTCCTGTAGCATTAGACCCACTGCAAAAAAACTTCTCACCTGCGCCTCTCTTTGGTCTCAGTGTTAGGGGTCGTCTCCGCATTTGTGGTAGTGGAGTTTTGAATTTCTGTTCGTCTAGAGAAATAAAGCATAAATGAATTTCAATGCAGAGGGAAAAAGCATTTTCACAGTGATCTAAGCTCTCTTCTAGTTAATTTTAGAAATGTTTAATGAGGCCAACGTGATCAATATAATGCATGAACTCGGCACTAATATGGGAACTAGGATTTGCCTAGCTTGTCTCTTGAGGTTATTAAGAGTCCCATTAGCCCGGCAGCCAACTCAGTCTTCATTATACAATATTGTTACACAGTGGTGTTTATTTTTTGGAAGATAAGTTGTCTTGTTACTCCTATCCTGTAACAAAAACAACCAATAATCTGGTTATGTGTTCATGGTCACTCTGTAGGTAAATGTGCTTTGCAGCTGAAGATCATGTATCATTTCTCTACTAATTTCTTACTTACGTCAACCCATGTCAAGTCAGGTTTTTCCTCTAAAAATATGTAACTAGTTTGCTGAGCACATGCTGTCTTAATGTCATTACCTTCCAAGGGAATTGAGAGCAGACACGGTGGCATCTGGTTTGGCTGGCACAGTGTTTGCACTTAGTGTAGAGATTTCTGGCTTATTTGCTAAAGGTTCTCTTCTCGGAACAGGGGTTTCTGTTTTCAATGCAAGGGGATCTCCCCTTTGCCTGCGAAGTGAAGTTAATCCATCTTCCCCCTCATTACGCAGTCGTACAAAGGACCCTCGCCCAAGCGGATCTCTGGAAGACAAGAAACAAGTAGAAAGACTTTTCTTGAAAATTCCCCTTTCCTAAAGTGACAAATACTGGCACCTGTTTTTTTTACTCACCGTGTATTCTCTTGATTACCAAGCAATTTCTGGCTGGGGGGCACTCGTGCCATACGAAGTTCAGCTCCAGTCTTGTCCTGAAACAGAACAGAATCTCAGTTGAGCCAATTATTAGAGCAAGTCATCAATAAAGATCACTACAGTTAAAGAATGAATCCTATGGAACACAAGGGAGGAGGATAAAAGCAAGTGAATTTACAAAAGGTAAAACATGAACAGCATCACAAACCCTCTCTGACAACTGGGAACTGGAAGCAGATTTGGGTAATGCAGCTTTTTTTCCTTCCTCAGATGCAGTGCTAGAACTCAGAGTGCCAGAACTACCAGTCTTCCTTAAGGAGGCTCGCCACGAACCCAAGGCGGGTTCCACTTTTGTCTGATCCTGTGTAAGAGGAGGCTGCATTGAAGTGAAGAGAGAAAATACCTTATTAAAAGGAAAAAACATAAGATAAGTAAAAGAAATTTGGGGTTAAGTTTACCTTTTTTGCTGCTGTCCCTGAAAGATTCCTCAACTGATTATTCAGATTATTAATTCTTTCTTGTGCTTTCACTTTTTCTGCAAATAATAATGGGTTATAAAAGGATTGAAATGGCCAGGGGGGAATCATGGTAATACAAGAAAATACATTAATGCACCCTTGGAAACGAAAAGATAAAATGGAAAAGCAAAGGCTGACAGACAAAAATGAAATCCAAATTACAGGATAAACAAAGAGGCGGTACTGAGACTGACGTCAATGTATGCAGCGCCGGCTCACCTGATTCAGCATCAGAGCCGGACTCGGCATCAGAACTGGAGGCGATGGGTTGCGCGGTATGTCCTGTTACGGGGGGGTGCTGTGCTCTGCGTTCTTTATCCTGCACATGAAGTGCAACCTTCTCCTGGCTGCTCAGACGAGAAATAGAACTCCTAATTGAACAAGGGATGGGGGGTAGGGATCGTGCAGGGATCAGTGCAAGGTGTGCAAAGAGTGCCTGGGGCCAACACTCAACGAGTGAAACACTCAAAGATCACACGGTGTGCAAAGAGTGCCTGGGGCCAACACTCAACGAGTGAAACACTCAAAGATCACACGGTGTGCATAAACCAGTGTGGCAAAATACAGTCATGTGACCAATCCATGTGCAACATACCCACAGTGACACACTTCACCAAAACCTCAATGACACAAAAATTCAATTTAAATCCATCGATAGATGGCAGACAGACACACACGTTCAGTTTTAATGAATGAAATATGAAATAGAAAAAATGCAGCAACACATGATTGCTACAAACCTTCTAGTCCTGCTGCTAGCACTCTGATTGGGAGGGCTTGTTTGAGGCAGAATTTGTGGAGCATTTTTCATCTTCTCCAGGCGCAACTAAAAGATATTAATAAAGATAAAAATCTGCATTAAAAAATAAATAGAGACAAAAAGGGAAAGAAATGGGGGGGAAAATCAGACAGCACATGTGTACCGATATTTCACTGAAAATGGAATATTCAACACTTGGACTAAGTCTAATTTCTCACCACGCTCTGTTTAGTCTTTAATTCTTCCAATGTAGACTCTACGCTGTCATCAGCAACATCAACTGGTGTCTGCCCCTGCAAGACAAATCGGAACATTTCAAGACCAAGAAATATACAATAAGAACATCACATATCACTCTGCAAAAGAGAAGATCACAGACAAACAGGAATTGCTGAAAGCAAGCTGCTGGGGAGGAATGCAGAGACAAAACGCATGGTAAGAAACCGACAGATAACAGCCCAGAGAACCAAGCAAGGCACTAGCCAAAGTGGCCGCATGGCAGGAGACACATGGTAGACAAGGCAGAGGTGCAGATAAGGGGGTAGAAGCAGTCTGCATTTAGTGTGAGAAGACCGCTGACCCCCTCACCACTTTGTTGATCGCCTCCATGTCACAGAGAGCCTCACACAGGAGACGGCATGCATCCGGCTGGCCCCAATGAGCGGCCGCGTGCAGAGGCGTCCAACCATCAAAGTCACGGGCGTCCACATCAAACCCCAGTTGTAGGAGTAGCCTGAGACAGACAGGAAGAGTGAGAATGATGGGGTGGAGATGGAATGAGACAGAGGAGGGGTCAGACATAGAAAAATAAAGGATGGCAGGTGGTAACATGACCTTGCTGTGTTTCTCCTGACCTTATAGATTCTGCCTCCTACTTATCTGATGGTTTTCACGTTTTTATGGCATCAACTTGGTACCCACCTTCCCCCCCCACCCCCCAAACACTTTAAAAAAATATTCATAAAAAAAAAAAAATAAATAAAAGAGATCCATCTGCAGATTCCAGCAGTTATTTCCAACGTATTACCCACCTGTCACACAGCTCACCTGATTACTTCAGTATACCCTTTGGCTGCTGCAACATGGAGAGCTGTGGCACCTGTAGTTGGGTGCCTCAGGTCCTCAACTTTTCTACTATTCAACCAAAGTCGTGCGTCCCTCAGCATGAGTTCCTCTTCCTCCCTCCGTGCTACATCTAGGTCCACACCTGTGTACAGTTTATTGTTATAAGAATAACATCATATAAACAATCAAAAAAGAAAGGTGTACTGACCGTAGGTCAATGACTGCGTTTCTTACCTTGCTTTTTTATCTCACTTTTTAGCAATTTCTCCATTGCACTCTCGTGTGAAACGTCAAGTGGTAACTCTCCCTCACTATTCACAGAAGCAACACTGGCTCCTTTTGAAATCAGGTACCTGTCCAGACATTAAATACAAACAATAGCAGAAAAGGACTAAATGCAGTGCCAATATGCCAAATTACATTGATGTACTCCGAAATAAAAATTGGGGGATACTTTTTTTTTTAAAAAACCTATAAATTGTCACAGGGTGCAAAGTAGCCAAATATCAGAGGCAAGCGGATTACCTTTCCACGTGACCGCAAGCTCTGGAGATTCCGCAAGAAATTAGCACAATGTACAGAAAAGGGGCACATGTCCAGGAGTTCTGTAATTTGGGAATTGCTGTGAGTGTAACAACGCCTTTACTGATGTTACATAATCACCTTGATATGAAGGTTCTGATAAACTTTCAGATCACGTGATCAATGTCATCACAACTGCAAACATTGTCAGTGCTCAGTAAATCAATTGCTAGATTGGTTTAATAGGCTTTTGGATTTTGATCAATCTTTCCCTTTAAGAAAGACAGAAAAAAATCATATTTTTACATCATTAAGCAAAATGTTTAAAGGTGTGCATTGGCCTAAATACCTTGCAACTAATTGTGCATTCCTGGAGAACCTGTCCTGGCAACATACCGACGCTCAATGTAAAAAGAATCTGACATCCCAAAAGAAACAGGTGACTTAATAGTAAGAGGTGGATTTAGCCCAACAATGGTCTGCCACAATCAGCTGTCACTAAGCAAATAAAGGAATGAGTCAATTGTAGCCACAAATACTTTAAGGGCTACTAGCCAATACTTCTTATAACTTAAAGGGCAACTAGGACGTAAAAATAAAATTCACAATTATTTTAACTCATTGAGAAGCTACATACTATATTCAAAGCGCAAAATATAATGCACTGTGGGAAGCTGCAGGGACAGGATCGTTTCAGCAAGCTGAAATGGTTCTGGTGCATATAACAACAATTGAAGGCCAACCCCCTGCAGAATGTCAGACGCGATCCTCACAAACGTTATCTCCTTTGATATCAAAACAAATAAAAAAAAATGTAGAACGTAATATTAAGGGACAGAAGTAACTGCCTAATAAAGAAATACTCACCCACATAGCCAGATTGTCAATAAGGTTACTCCAAAGTCATCCTCCATCTCTATACATACAAAATATAGGCCACGAGTCTCAAATTTCACTTCAATAATACACAGCCAGCAGGAACCTTTGAAAGTCACAGTATGTAATTGTATCCTTTACTATAATTTCCAAGGGGCAGGTCTCTCAATGCCATCAACTGTTTCACTATGTTCCAAATGTGTATAATTTCCCTTGTACATAATAGTAATACATGAAATGGAAAAACGTATTGCAAAACGTAATTATATGGTCTACTGTTCCTTTAAATAATCCTGTGGGTTTGAGTGACTGTTGGCAGAACATTCTTTAAAATATAGCTTTTGGGAAATTCACTTTAGTTTGGCCCATGCATTTGACAAGCCGGCGCTAAAACATTTTTGCGAGCTCGTTAAAGATTATATATATATATACAGACGTCACATAAATGGTATAGTAGATACCACTGTTCATTCTCTTTCAGTTTGTGAATCCATGGTTATATTCCTAAATTTAATCTACCAAAAGAGATGGGTTTATATTTAAAAATAAACTAAAGCTTTCGATAGATTATTAAAAATGTGGGCACAAGTAAACCAGGAGATGATCAACAGCGAAGGAAAAAGTGCAAAGTTAAACCATAGAATTGTGTCAGCTAGGAGAGAGACAGCGGGAGGGGACAATCCCACACAAGAACATGCAGGACGGGCACTCACTGTGCAATGTTCACAAAACCACAAGACGCTGCCGCGTGAAGGGGGGTCCATCCTTCATTATCCGGCTGGTTCACAGCTGCGCCATTTTCCACCAAAAACTGAACCATTTCTATATTCTCATCAATACAGGCCTGGTGGGAAAGGGGAAAGGAATTTCAGATGGGTCATAATGGAGAGTTGATTAGGATAAAAAATAGGAGATATAAGCATGGCCAAACAAAATAATACGTGTTTGGAGATAGTGACTTTATAATTAATCATATAATTACAGCACACCTAGATAACCAGGGCCAGTAAAAACCATTATTTATAGAACATAACTGGTGATCCCCAATAACCACATATCACTGCACCCCTAGAAAACCAGGAGCCCGATACAAAGTCACAAAACGTCACAATAAAACAACCCTTGTTACCAAGAACCCTAATGTTCAGAATGCCATAAAATGTACTAAAATGTGTCTTCCCGTCTATATACCAGGAGCTCACACCTAACCTAATAGCACCCCGTAATACAGGAGGCCTTGCAATAAAAAGAATCGGTACAGATTACTTCAGATTTTTCCTGGCCTTTAATCCTTTTACACTGTTTAAACAACTGACCATATGTCCAGTTACTGGACGTGTTTTCTGTTCAAAAGCATTCTTGCACATCTCCTTATCAGGATTTGTGGCTCTCGCAAGTGTCAGGATCTGTTACAGCTGCTTCAAACTTTTTAGTCTCCTAAATATTAAGCAACGTGTAGTACTGAAACGATCTCAGTGACATATTGCAAATATCACCTCAAATATCAAATTAAATGTATTATTCCAGGGTAGCGGTTACCTGTGGTTATATGCAAGACCATGGATTCTTTTAGCTGTGTACAGTAAATTAATTTGAGATTATTCAAGGGGGGCTGTAATGTATGGGGTACCTAATGAAAGCTCAGAGTCTGTGTATTGTGGGTTGCTGTGGGGATATTGGATTACCTGCGGTACAGCTGATCACAGTCTATGTATAGTAGGGTGTTAAAGGTTGTTGGGGTACCTGGTGCAGATCTGAGCACAGTTTGTGTGTTGTAGGGGTCTTGGGGTGCCTGGTGAGCACAGTTTGTGTGTTGTAGGGGTCTTGGGGTGCCTGGTGAGCACAGTTTGTGTGTTTCGGACTGATGTGGTGCCTGGTGAGCAAATTGTGTGTTGTGGGGTGCTGGGGTGCCTGGTGAGCACAGTCTATGTATTTCCGGGTGCTGTGGGCGTGTTGGTGAAGGGCTATTTGTGTATTTTGGGGTGCTGCGGGGGTGTTGGGATACCTGATGCAGGGTTGTGTATTTTGGGGATCTGTGGGTGTGTTAGGGTACCCAGGTGTAGATCTGTGTATGTAGGTGAGCACTGTCTCAGTAATTTGGGGTGCTGTGGGGAATATGGGGGTACATGGTGCAGGCCTATCTGTGTAATTTGGAGTGCTGTGGGGGGTGTTGGGTTACCTCGTGCAGGGCTGTCTCAGTAATTTGGGGTGTTAGTGTATTTTGGGGTGCTGTGGTGATATGGGGGTACCTGGAGCAGAGCTGTCTCTGTATTTTAGGGTGCTGTGGGGCTGTCTCTGTAATTTAGGAATGCTGTATTAATATGGGGTACCTGGTGCAGGGCTGTCTCAGTATTTTGGGGGGGCTGTATTACCTGGTGCAGGGCTGTCTCAGTATTTTGGGGGCTGTATTATTTGGGGGCTGTCTGTTACCTGGTGCAGGGCTGTCTCAGTATTTTGGGGGCTGTCTCAGTATTTTGGGGGGCTGTATGTATTTGGGGGCTGGGTTCCAGCACGTGGGGGCTGTATTATTTTGGGGGCTGTCTGTTACCTGGTGCAGGGCTGTCCTCAGTATTTGGGGGTGGGGGGCTGTATTATTTGGGGGCTGTCTCAGTATTTTGGGGGCTGTCTGAGTATTTGGGGGTGGGGGCTGTATTATTTGGGGGGCTGTCTGTTACCTGGTGCAGGGCTGTCTCAGTATTGGGGCTGTCTCAATATTTTGGGGGCTGTCTGTTACCTGGTGCTAGGGGGTGGGGGGCTGTATTTTGGGGGCTCATACCTGTGGGGCTGTCTCAGTATTTGGGGGCTGTATTATTTGGGGGCTGTCTCAGTATTTTGGGGGGCTGTCTAAGCATTTGGGGGCTGTCCCAGTTTCGGGGCTGTATTTTGGGGCTGTCCAGTATCAGGGGTAATGTCCAGTATTTGGGGGGGCTGTCTGTTACCTGGTGCAGGGCTGTCTCAGTATTTGGGGGCTGTCTGAGTATTTGGGGTGGGGGCTGTCTCAGTATTTTGGGGGGCTGTCTGTTACCTGGTGCAGGGCTGTCAGTCCGTCCACGTTGGTGCCATTGATGGGGGCTCCGGCCGCCAGCAGCTCCCGAACCTCCTCTCGGTCTCCGGCCGAACAAGCCGCCATAAACACGGCTCCCTGGGCGAAGCGGACCCGCGGGGGGCGGCGGGAGGAGCCGGGACCCCCCGGGGGGACACTGCGCTCCGTGTCCGACCCCAACCACCGGTTTAACTGCTCCCGCCGCTTGTCCTTAGCCGCCTCAGACCGGCACCGATCGTCCGCCGCCATCTTCCGAGTCCGGAGCGGGGAGGGAGCCGGGGGAGGGAGAGAGGGAGAGGCCGGGGGAGGAGGAGGCCGGGCCGGGGGAGGGAGAGGGGGAGAGGCCGGGGGAGGAGGAGGCCGTCGGGGGAGGAGAGGGGGAGAGGTCACTGGGGGAGGGAGAGAGGCCGGGCCGGGGGGAGGGAGAGAGGAGAGGGGAGAGGCTGGGAGGGAGAGGGAGAGGCTGGGGCTGGGGAGGAGAGGGGAGAGGCCAGAGGGAGCTGTGGGCTGGGGGAGGGAGAGGGAGAGGGGAGAGGTCAGAAGGAGAGGGAGAAGCCGGGCCGGGGGAGGGAGGAGGGGAGAGCTGGGAGGGAGAGGCCGGGCCGGGGGGAGAGGAGGGGAGAGGGAGAGAGGGGGAGAGGCCGGGAGAGGAGGAGGGGAGGAGGCTGGCCTGGGGGGAGTGGAGGGGGAGAGCCGGGGAGGAGGAGGCCGGGGCTGGGGAGGGAGGGGAGAGGCCGGGGAGGGAGAGGCCGTCTGGGGAGGAGAGGGAGAGGCCGGGGAGGACCCGGGAGATGGGGGAAATCGAAGGGTTAAGGTGGGGGGAATGAAGGGGTTAAGGTGGGGGGAATGGAGGGGTTAAGGTGGAGGAATGAAGGGGTTAAGGGGGAGGGAATGAAGGGGTTAAGGTGGGGGAAAGAAGGGGTTAAGGTGGAGGGAATGAAGGTGTTAAAGTGGGGGGCATGAAGGGGTTAAGGTGGGGGAATGAAGGG